TCTGTTGTTGTGTCTCTGCTTTTTCCCCCTGGATGAGGTTCTGTATTTATGCAGAGAGACTTCTTAGTCACTTAACCTCGTCCCCGCCTACTTCAGATCTCAAACCTCCCACATATATCTTGACATACCGTCTAGCTTGTTGGAAATGGGGAATTTCCAAAACATCCTTATTTAGATTTACCTAACAGTTCATCTGTATTTTGAGATAGTCTTTGATTGAGGGCTGTTAGTAGAACTAATTGAGGATTAGACTCACAACCACAACTAATATGTTGAGTTTTTTAAATTAAACAATAGATGTCAGACTGCACCACTTATTAACCAAGTAACAGATACAATCAAAACAGCCTTAAAAAGAGCTTGTCAATAAAACTGATAATATCGGCTTAACTTCCTTAACCACCAGGCCATCACTGCCCTGCTACATCGGTATCAGTTCAGAATCAGAAATTAAGTGTTTGGCTAATATTGGAATATCAGAAAAAATATCGGACGACATCCTAACAACAATTATTTATTTCTCCTCTACCGAGCATGTTTCTCACCTATGCCAGATCGGTGGTCCACAAAATGGACGAGCTAATGCTGATCGCTGTCTGTTGTTGCTGATCGCTCTCTGTTGTTTTGTTTTGTTTGTTGTTTATTTCAGTGATCATTGCAGTAGAGTAATGTTTGTATGTATGTGTCTGTGATACACCTGCAGAGAAGCCTTCCCTAATTTTGTTATGTTCTAACCAAACATAATGACAATAAAGACTATTCTATTCTATTCTTCTATTCTAAAAACTTTGTATTTCTTCCTGAATTACTCATCAGACAAGTCAATCAGATGCTTTTGTTACTTCTCATTTAAACTGGTGATGTGGTTCCACTTTTTGAAGTTAATAATACATATTCTGTTCCTTAACAAAAGGACAATTCACATGAAACTCATGCAGTGATGTCCGAACCTGTGGCGTATTACCAAATGGTTATTGGCTCACCTTTCAGGGGAACTACCTTTCATCAACGTCAAGTGATGCAACACACAGAGTGATGCTGATGCAACACTCTGATTGACACCATCGCTGTCATCACACTCAGTTTATCAGAGTTGAGTAAAATCACTTGGTAACAACATATTTCTTGATTTTAATTTTTACAAAACATTCTCACGAACAACCTGGATGTTGGATAATCACTATTCTTGTGTAAGTGTGTTGACAGTTGGCCTGTGTTTGTGTAAGTATGAAGGTGCTGTGGACACAGATGTGTTTCAGTCAAGATGACATGACTCACTGCATTCCTATAGGATTGACCTGAGATCCATCCATCCATCCATCCACTTATTCGTTACCGGGATCACGGGGGCAGCAGTCTCCATGACCGCCACCCAAATCACACTGCACCGTACCAACCCCCCTGAACCTTCCTGCAGGTGGTGAGTCCACTGTAAGGTACCAACCGCCCTAACAGGGATTCGATCTTGCCCAGGAGGTGAACCCTGGGGTTCCACACCAATGACAGAGATGTTGCCTCTGGGCCAAAGCACCACCTGACCTGAGATGTAACTAATTATTAATGTTTGTTTTCCATAGTTTTTACAGATGTACAAAAGGGAGTTTTACGCCCGAAACATTACCTCGATGTACTGGAGGAGTAATCAGTATTTAACAAAACAATACATGCAGCAATAATGTAGATTAAAGAAATGTATTTTGTGTACATTTTTGAAAACAAATATCTTCCAAATTTGTAGTATTCTGGTATTTCTATACTTTTTAAAACATTGTTTAATTACTTTCCTTTACATTTTTATCTTGTATTTATTTTCTCATCTATTCAACTGTCATTTGTTGCTGCAACATGACAATTTCCCCATGTGGGATGATCAAACCTAAAATGAATCAGTCATCTAATCTAATCTAATGTTTAGATGTAGATGAGATTAAACTCATCTGATTAATGATGATCCATTGCAGTGAATCATCATTTGCAGACTGTCCGGTTCTTTACCTTATACTAAAGTAATAGTATTTACTTGTAGTAAAGAATATGGTGTTCATATGAATTTCCAAATTAAGTGGTTGAGCAATGTGTGGTTTAATGAGGAGGTGAGCACTTCCTCATATGGTTTCCTGATGTGGTTGATATAGAACATATGGTTTCAAATTTCCACCCCATTTGCTAACCCGTTGTTGACGTGTTTGAGGATATTCGTCAACCTATATGTCCACACCGTTCAGTGTTGCATGATTATACTTATCATTTGTTGATTCATCGTCTGCCAACATGCAATTTTCCCATGGCTATTTTATTTTATCTGCTTCAATTGTATTTGAATAAAGAACCTCATCTGTTCTCCTTGTTGGTGCGTCTTTTTGAATGATCTTTTTATTTAATTTGTTATTGATGTTGTAATGCTAATACAAATTTATCGCCTTGTCTTATACCATTTTATTTTTTGTTAGAGGTCAGGGATGATCTTAAGGATCACTGGGTGAGGAGAGGGGGTCAACTTGGACAGGTCTCCCGTATATCATGTGGAAATGTTAAACATAGTATTGAATATTAGGAAATAAAGAATGAATGTTTTAAATGGACACTGAATAGATCAGTGTTTCCTAAACTTATTTTCTGGGGACCTATATTGCAAAAGTCACAAACCTTCGCCACCCAAGTCAATAGACATTATTTTTAAACTCCTGGGAAACATGATGCGAGACGACCCAAAAAAAAAAATCTCTTGCAACCCACCTGAGGGTCGAGACCCAGTCTTTGGGAAACAATGGAATATAGTTAAACTGAATGACATTATTTATCCCCCAGTCCAGCCATGTTTGATTTTTGGGGCACTGACTATTTTACCCGTGGGAGGAAACTATAGTGTTTGTGTTTGATGACTGTAATTATTTAAATGGCATTTTTAACAACAAGCCTGAGTACAAACAATAAATGTACCGGCTCGGGTAATAAAATGTATATTTTACACCCATGTACTGTATGGAACAGGTTATGTTTAATTCAGAGTGAAGCAGCTTCAAACAGAATCTTTGACACAAGGCTTTTTGATGCAAGGTTATTCTTTTTTATGCGTCTTCTCAGCAGTTCCCTGAGCGTCCTTTGGAAACATCTGCCACTAATTTGTCATGGCGTCACAGCCTTAATGAATATGGCTCCGTGTATTTTAACAAATGCCACATTTAATTTGGCTTCACCACTCTGCTCCCAAAATACATCTGGCACAGAACCTCAGAAAAAGACACTTTTTTGTGTGTCTGGCTTCAAAAACTTCCCCTTCTGCAGGCTGAGCATGAGGTTGCACACTGTGTCATCACAGAGCTGGACATCGTCTTAGTGAAGCAGCAAGACCCCCGCTGCAAACAAAGGAGAGACGTATGATTCACTTATCTGTGCAACAGCAGTGCAGTGTAATACAGTACAACCAAGTCATCATTTTTCCTGAAGGTTCAAAAACACAACAAAACACCACATGTCACAGACTCAGTAGAATGTTGCCACTTTCGGGTCAGTAATTACTCAGGATGACAAGTCTAGGTTCATGCAGGGTTTCACACTGTTTTCCCACCACAACGTCATACACTTCATGTCTAGATTTGATATAGTTGGACCAGATGGGTCTGTTTACAGTTCAGCCTCGTGCTGCAGGTTTTGTCCTTAACTCTGACACGGTCTGTTTAGCTTCAAACTGCCTTGTGAAAGCACATTGTTTATGTCTTATGGTATGTTTCTAGCAGTCAGTAAAAAAATGCGAGAAATCACATCCTGTCTGTCGCTGCCGATGTGGTGCCTTGGCCGGCTTCCTGCTTCAGCTGCGTTGTGTTTTATGACGACTGGTTTGTTGACTCTGCGGTGGGACACAGAGACTGTGTAACACACAGGACCGTAACTGTGTTTGATGTGGACCAAATGTCAGCCCTTCACCAGGTACTTTACCCAGGCCTGCTGAGTCTGCAGCGCTGTGCAGTTATTCCGGGAGTAGCTTTGTTTTCATACCCCACTAAACTCTGACAACAGTTTATTTTGGCTGGCCCCAGTGTTTGCCTCAGCCTGATTTCTTTGTTTCATTTTTGGTCATTCATGTTGCTCATTAAATTCTTTTTTTTAACGATTCCTGCTACACAATAACAGTAATGAACAGCATGCCTAACGTGTTGTCCCTGAATATTTGTGACACTTTATAATTAGCAGTGATACTATGCATGCCTGTGGGTAGGAATGGAGCACAAGGATCTTTTAGAGCACAACAAAACAAATGACACAATCAAAAATAAGAAGGGATCAAAACAAGCAATAGCCTGGGCGGAAACCATGTTGTGCCCTCGGGTGTCACTCAACACAACAGCTTGTCAGTAATGAGTCACAAGTCAAGGTAATAAATACAGTAGATAAAATTCCACGAACAAACTTTTAACAGCTGTGTCTATTCATCCGGATTAGGCTGTAGGAGTACATGAGGTGACAGGTTTGACTCATGTCTCCCTGCAGCAGCAGCAGCAGTCAGGAGTGTTACTTCTGCGTCACTAAACATCTTATCTAAATCTAGACTCTTAGTCAGCTTTGGGTATATTTACTGTATAATAGACTTAATGAATTAATCACAACATTTAAATGAGTCAAAACAGCAAATACCAAGAAAGAGTTTAGTTAGAATAAAAAATAAAAAATAAAATCAGTATTATGAGAAATATTTGAGAAATTTATAAATGGTCTGGACTTAACTGCCTTTTTCTTTCTTGATAACTAGACTCAAAATGCTTCACGCTACAAAACAAATCATAAAAGCCGACATGAAAACTATTATTGCGCAATCAATCCCACAACCCTACTGTTGTAGGGCAACTCAACAACCTACCCATCCACAGCCGGTCCCAGAATATGCACTGAAATAGCACTAATCTTGATGCTTATCTGATTCACTGAAGCGTACGGAAACATATCTCATCGTGACACAAGTTCCACCAGACTGCCAAAGATTTGAGCACCACCTGACCACGCTTCATTGAAGCCGTTTGAAAATGCATGTCACGTAAACCATTTTTGTTTATGACTGTTTTCTCTGCTACTGCTGAGCCACTGATTCTGTGGTACCGACCACAGACCAAAAATGTCAACTTCCTCTGTTTCTGCTAAGGTACTTTACTGGATTGGGACACAAACTGGTGAAAGAAACAGGATATGATAGAATCTTTTAAAACATAGGATACATGTAACCACCTTTATGAGACGAACAGTACAGCAAGGGTGTGGGGACATTTTTCTGGGCAGTTTTGTAATACTTCAAAACATAGAATACAATATGATGTGTGTGTTCTAGCTCAGATATGTTAGTGAAGCATAACTTGAGAATAGTTTAAAATTAAGTCTGAAAAAGCTTAAACTAATAAAAAATGGTATTTAAGTTAAAGGAAGAGAAGCTACATTAGCAATAACCTAGCATGGATAGCTACATATTTCATTCCAAACTAATTTAGCAAATGTTATTGCTACTTATTTCATTCCAAACTAATTTAGCAAATCCAATAGCCTCAAAATATACATAAAAACATTGTTTTGAACAAAGCTCATTTTCTAACCTGGGAAAACTTGTCAACATCCCACCATTGGCGTCACTGACTTTGTACCAGCCTGTAGTATTATGGCTCCATGTGTTGACAGTCACAACACACATTTTAAAGAAATGATAGCGGTCAGCCATGGAGAATGCTACTACATGCTACTACACGTTCCCTGGCCAGCAGCAAATCATGGTGCCGTCACCCTCAGGCGACCAGTCTCCCCCGGGGAGATATCATTTTATTTTTAATGACGCTGTTGACTATATGTGCAAATCCATGTAATAATATAATATCTTTAACAAGCGGCAGGTGGGTTTGGCTGGAGGCCATGACAGAGGGAAGATTGCGTCTGTTGAGGTGAAGGCGTGGGCTGGCAGAACAGAACAAGTCCAGGCAGGCGGAGTCGTGCTGACTTTATGGACAGTCATCGTCCCCACCACTCTTAAAAGCTAATTGTTGCCAGTCATAAGAATGGTCTTTGAGGGCGTTCCATTCAGAGAAGAGCCACAGGGTGTCACTCCTGTGACGTCAGCTCTGATCTCACAGATTATATTATTTCTTATTTAATGGAGCAACGCCTTTTCTTACAGAGTTGTTTTTAGAACCTAGTGCTAGAACATGAGGGGGCTGTAAACAAAAAGAGGGCACTTGGAAATAGAATTGTTTGTCAGTTGAGCCGAGTGTTAAAGAGACGATGCGTGGAAGAACCTAGAGCTATTTTTCTTATACCACACTTTTGGGAATCTGGGAAGAGGTTGGGAATTTACCCCTTTTGCAGCTGATGGCTGGCAGGAAGTGAGTCAGGCTCTGATCCTCAGCTGCCTCTGCACAACCCAGCTCAGACTTGTTGAGGCAGGCAAATCTCTCTCTCCTCCTGATGTGTTTGCTGATGTTGGAGCTTGGTGAGGTTACTGAGGTTTGTGCTCAGATGGCCTGAAATGAATGTATTTTTCCCAGCTCAGGAAAAACACCTACATTACTGTGTACATGCTGTGTCATTTGGGAATTCTATAAACAGCTGAAACTCTTTGGTCTGTTGCCACCTACAAAAATATTATTCCAACTAAGTTGACTCTTTTCAACAAATAACTTTACAGTAAAGTCCAAAAGAAAAAAAATGAAGAGGTATAGATGGGATGGCTTAGACATGGCCTGAAGGGGAGTAGTTGATATGTTGGATTAGGGGGGGAAAAATTAGAATAAAAATGAAGATTTAAGCACCTGGTCATGATGGATGTAGCTTCTGTTGATGTGGAGGAGGCTGAAGGGGGTTCCTCGAGGAAAGAACCAAAAGAAAAGAAACAATGTCTAGTATTAGTGTATATATAGTAGTATAGAGGAGTGTTTTTTCAAATTCATTGAGTATAAATACATGCAAACTGTTGGTCAACCCAAAGCATCTGTTTTGTCTCTTTACCTCCGACTGAGCTGCAGACTTTCTTCTTCTTCTTCTTCACACCAACCATCTCCACGTCTCCTTTCACAACATCCACAAAGGAGCTGCTGACTGAACAATAAAGAAATCATACAACAGTCTGTTTTTATACTAAGGAGTCAAGAACACAACTATTGTGTGTATTTATTTATTTATTTATGCATTTATTAGAAAAGACGACAACATGAAGCAGCAAATATTTTTTTCTGGAACCAAACCTTGTTAATAATTAGGACCAATGACCATTTTGGTGTGATACAAGACTGTTACTGTCCACGTCATCTCTGTTAGGATTTTGTAGGATGCCACGGAATGGACTCACAGCAGACTGAAATCTAAAAACAAAAATTTGCACTTCAATGAACGCACACTTTATCATCTATTTATATCACACACACCACCCCGTCTGTCAGGACAGAGTTGTAAACAAAACAAACAACAAAAAAAACAATGTTTGAAGTTCCTGCTTATCTCACACAGAGATGATGGAATTCTGATCCAAAAGATGTTCCTGTATTCACATGAAATCACACACACACACACACACTGTCACTGTGCTATACATAGTTGCCAGAGGACCCACAATTGAACTCTAAGGAATAAGGAATGCCCAAAGACTTTGAGAACCACTGCACAACAGCACGATCACTGCTTGAATCCAAGGTGTTAAAACACTGAGTGGTGATTAGAGTTTTAGGTTTATTGATTATTTCAGATTGACTATAGGTTTGAGTTGAACAGTTGTTTATCTCCATATATATGGTAAACTGTGAGAGCTGTACCATATCCTGGGCCCCGCCACCTTACAAAAGTGTTAAGTGGAAAACGAACGTGTCACAAGAATGTGTCAATCTGTGGCTTTTAATTTTAATTTTTCGGAGGATTTGCCCTGAGGATGTTTACTGAGGCTGCATTTGGGTGACACTTCACTGTACGGTGGAACATTATGTATTTGCTTCATATGCTGATCCCACATGTGTCTGGAAAATCAGTAAGACATTCAAGGACTTGAGCAGTCCTCTGGATGAGCCTTCGGAGGAATTTGAATAAATATCTGCAGATGCTGACCTGGTCATCAGGACCGGTGGGAGAAGTTTAATGAAAGAACCAGCTGTGACCTTGTTAGACTTCATCACTAAGCCGGATCAGACCTGACATTTCCCCCGACGGTCACTCTGTACTGCAGTAAAGTACTGAAAATAACTTTCACCAGCAGATGGCACTCTATCACAGCAGCAGTCTGAGGATCTAGAAGAGAGCTGATGAAGTGGGAATTAGTGTCAGGAGGAGGAACACATCACATCCATCTTCCAAAGAAACACATTGGAAAATATCTTGAACAAAACACAAATGTAATTTGATGCAGGGAAAGTGGCTTTAGAACAACATAATGTGACGCTCTCAAATTCTCCATGTTATTTTTCTTTTCTACAACCTTTCTTCAAAGCTGTTTCTAAATGTCAGCTGAGGCAGAGATTTAATAAAAGTTGTTGTGAAGGTCTATTTGGTGAATAATTGATTCCAAAGGAAACACAACACAACACTTTATGTTGTACAGTTTAAATCTGTTTTATCAAAGTGCTGTCACCGTTGATTTTACACAATGTGGTTATTTTAAAGGATTTCAGAGGATTTAGTTATTAACACTTAACACCATGAACCATTTGTTGTCTTTTAAATTATGTATTTTTTTTAGTTTAAATCTCCTGGTTCTGGGTTTGGTTTTTAAAATGATTAATTCTGAAAAGCAGAGAAAACCCCATTGTTTTTAACCAAATTTTTTCCAGTGCTGGCAGCAACCTAGTTCAGGGAGGTGGAACTCCTCCTCCACTTTTATTTAAAAAAAAAAAAAGAAAAAAAAAATTTCATAAATAAAAGTGTTGTGCTGTGCATTTTCCCTTCGACTTCCCGGCTGACAGAGCCACGGGAATAAAACGTCTTTGTCACTAAAAGCGTCTGCAAATGTACTGAGCAAGAATATTGACCTGAAACACGGTCGAAACAAATCACCTGGAACAAACATTGATCCAAATAGTCGCCTTTCGCCAGTGGACCAAATGGACCAGATGGTAGAGGTCACATGCAGTATAATGTGCCTCCTTTCCATATAATATTACTACAGTCTGCGTACCGTAGTAATATTATAGTAGTGTCTGCTGAATGTTTGTCTGATCGCTGCCAGACCGTCCCTCTGGGTCCACGGTTAAAAGCCACCAAGGACAAAAAGGTTAACTTCTGAAAAGGTCACCTCTGCTGTTTTTATTTGAAGTTGCAAATGCATTGAAAATGCATTTGCAACTGCGTTTTTCTGAAAATCTCCATGTTTAGTTTTCCATGGAACTGAATCTGTTGGTCCAGGAAATCAAGCCAGGAGAAGAACAACATTAGAATGAATTATGGAAATCCTGACCCATTTATATCTGCAGGACAGTGTTTAATGTACAGTATAAAAAACCACACACGGTTAGTGTGTGTGTGGTGTCTAAAAGCTAATCACTCCATGGCTGCTCTGTAGTAGGGAGTAATCTGACTAGACTGCTGCACAGTACCAACACACAGCTGAGAAACATGGAGTCCAGAGTGATCCTGGTTCTCATCCACAGTGTGAACAAAACCCACTTGGACTCCAGTTTCAACTGCTTGGACTGGACTGATTGTGTTTAGTCAGCATCCACTTCCAAGAAAAATGTCTCTCTAGTGCCCACAAGTGTTTATCAGGTTCTCAGCCGATCGGCCCGAGTTAATTTCAGCCTCGACTTCTTCACTTCAGCTCAGTATCACGTCGATATGAAATTTACTTCTCAAACCTTGGGACAAGGATCAGTTTTTTAATTTGGGTGAGTTTGATTTTGGTTCTACACTTGAACCTCAACTAATCTACCATGTCATTCAAATTGTAATTAAAGCGCCCTCTGCAGGTGAGGGAGAGAGAGCAAAAGAGAGAGTGTACTGAAGTCTGTGTGCTCCATTAAAACATTTGCAGGTCATTTGTTGAGTTCAGGGGAAAACATTCCACAATAATGCATTCAATTCTTCAATCCAAGTGGAAATTACTGAACCCAAACTGTAGACTACATTACCTGTAGCAAAGAATTTGATTATTGTACATGTATTCATCTGTGTGTTTTCTCTCTGTAATATATACAGTTCACTCTAAACTATACACTTTGTAAAAAAGCAAAAAAACAAGGGGTTTCCGGTGACAACACTATTGTTGCCATCCAAACATCACAATGTTTATCTGGTGTCAAGAAAACAGGAGATAATGTCGAGCATTAGAGATTGTCGTCCACTTCCGGTAACATCACTGTTGACCTGTCTTGACCTCATAAGGAACTACATTCTAATACAGTATTTCTTATTAACATCAGTGCTGAACACTGTCATACAGTCAAATCTAAACACACCACAGAACACCGGTGAAGATACTCACAATCTCAGCGACGACTCTTCTGGTCCAGTCCAAACTCATTTGAACAAAGAATAAGGCCATCGTCTCTAGTGGTCATTTGTAATTAAGTTATTAGCAGTCCGGGTAAAGAAAAGGAGAAGGGGGGGCGGAGGGGGTCACATTCACACCAGCTGGTATGAAGTCTGGGTAAACATGAGCTTTGAGTGCATCTTTGTTTCCCTCCCTCACGACCAGCTTCCCTCCTACAGACACAAATGGCCAGCACAATAGAAAGCTTCTATTCCAGTCAGCTCTGCTGTCTTATCATTGGCCATCTCCTTCTAATAGATCAGTGCTGTTGGATCACCAAGGACTCTCCTCTGGTGGGTTAGAATTATGGCATCACAGAAGCCTTGTATCTGCACGTACAAACTGCCCTGCAGTACAGATTACTCCCGTAGTGCTGCTTGTTCTGCCACTGTTGTGCTATAAAGACCCTGAAGAAGAGATGAGCATTCACAGCTGTGCTGTTACCCTCCTCCTATTTACATAATCATTACATTCATATTCTTCTGCTACCTACAGCCTTAGTTTTACATATGCAAAGTATTGCAGTAGTAAGATGAATGAAGCTCCACTATACGTAAAAAAAAAGTTCTACTTTAAATATTCCATAATCTCATACCACAATAACTTACATTGCACGTGTCATCCACAACGAACGTATCAGCTAAAGCTCATTATCTTCAGTCCAATACTAAGAGTCCGACAGCATCTTGGTCAAAAAGACTTGAGTTATTGCAGTATAAGTCGAAACCCTTTAAGCCTTCTTTGTCCAATTAATTCACTTCTCCGGAGTTTAAGAAAAACAATCTCCCAAAATGTACTGTCCATGTAATTACCGCCAGGACAGCATGCTAGCACCTCTCCGCACACGAGCGAGCCAATGCCTGTGCGCTGATCATTACTTTTACATCCAGAAATCAGTCTTGTGCCTTGGCTTACACAGTGTTTTCCTCGCGTAACAACGGCTGTTCTTTGGGCTGCTACAGCGGTTCTGTCGAATGGTTTTGCTGCTGCTGCTCAGGTGGTGACTGCTGAGGCTCCGGTGGATCAGAATGAACAACTTCTTTCTGAGTCGGCTGAGTTGGCGCTGCCTGCACTGGCTCCATGTGGGACATGTCTTTCCTGTCACTGGGCTGTATCTCTAGACCTGATGTGTCCCTGCAGCAGAAGTACTGCTGCCAGATTTTCTGGAAGGCTGTGCGGAACTTTTTAATCCTGAAGGCATAGACAATGGGGTTGACTGCAGAGTTGCCATGTGTGAGAAAAATGGCGATGTAAATCAGGACTATGGGCTTCTGACAGTCAGGGCAGAAGAGTGAGATGCAGTTGATAATGTGAAGAGGGAGCCAGCTGATCGCAAAAAGGAAAAGGACCAGAGCCAGGGACTTGGCCAGATTCAGCTCCTTGTCATAGTACTTGTTGGGATCCGTGTGGTTGCTGGTGAACTTCTTGCTGTTGAGCTGCTTGTGGATCATGTAGAAGATTTCTGCGTAGATAACCAGCATGAGGAGCAGAGGCGGCAGCACCCATCCAAAGAAGTTGAAGTAAACCATGTAGTCCATGCTGATGACATTTTCAAACAGGCAGGTGATGATGAGGTTGGAGTTGCTGTTGTTAGTTTGCTGAAGGTGATTGTTCAGGTTGTTCCAGCCTAACATGGGCGTCAGGCCCACGATAAAGGCCACCGTCCAACATATCACAACTGCAATTCCTGCTCTCCGTGGGGTAACCACTCGCTTGTACCTGCAGGGAGAAACAAACCACACTGGTCTCAGCAGTTTCCCCTCACAGCAGGAGTGCTGAACAGGATTTCCCTTTTATTTAATTTGTCAACTTGGCCATGCCCTTGGATTCACAAAGAAGGCCTATCACGGAAAAAGAAAGAGCTCGACGACTTTACACTACACAAGTCCATCAGAGCGACTTCCGTTTATGAAGAGCTCCATCAGTAAACACGGCCCTTTTTGCAGCTGTGGTGTTTTTCCTGCTTCTTTTGTTCAGGGAATTTGAATTATAATCGTTAAACTCAATATTAATTTCTAACTTATTGCAGTGGAAGAGTGAACATTGGCTGCAGAGCTTGGCACAGATTTCACTGCTTTGGCACTCACATAGTGTTCATGTCTCGTGATTCACCATTGGCAAAGAAAGACAAAAAGAGATTTGGCCTAATCTTCTCGACAGGCACAGTAGATAAAACCAGTGATCAGACCCAGTCTAATTTTTTGTTAAAATCAGTCACTGCTGATATTTACCCTCCTGCTGTAATTGTGAGGGACAATATTGATTAGGGAACATGTGTAAAGTTGTGTCTACGTAGCTTATTGTTTGCCCTCTTAGCCTGGGGAACAGTCAGCTTGGAGAGGAGCGGATAATGATTTGTGTAGGAGTGTGGGGGGGAAGAGGAGTATTAGCACCAGAGCAGCAGGAGTGAAACAGCAAGAGCAGAGGTTGTTGTGGCAGAGGATTTAAAGATGTTAAAGAGAACGTGGGAAAACACTAAACCACTACAGAAAGTGTTATCACAAGCCTGTAAGAGGTGCAGGATTCACACACAAGATTAAATCGTGATCAGAAACTTGCAAGCAGAGCAGCAGTGGTGACTGTAGCAGGTGGAAGGTGTTTTCTGATAAAGAAAAATGCTTTTTTTAAAAATTGAATCATTGTTTTTAATTAAAATTTTCAGATTTCTACTTTTTTAGTTCTCACTTTGTTTTGTATTTTAAATTTGGTGACATCTACTTCATCTGTTTGGTTTATTTCTACGTCAGCAGCCACTCTCTTTATCTTTGATCCCAGCTCAGTGACAGTCGTCAGGATCAGTAAGGCAGAGCTACAGCGTGAGTTTGTCCCCAGTCTCTGCTCAGTATCGTTTCCTTAAAGGTTGCTGTTCACACACCAAAGACTTCTTAAATGTCATTTTGGGAACTTTCAGCAATTTTGAAGACTTTCTTGTTACTAAATACTCCTACAGTAGTGCCTACAGTAATGTACATTATTAACCTTTAAATGATGAATTGTAGACATAAAGCAGTCATTTTGAAGTAAAAAACTGTTTCCCCTCAAAGTGCCAGTTTGAAAATATTAGTGTAGTGTAAACAGCCCATCTACAGGAAATTGGACGTTTAGAATATCTAAGCAGCTTCCTTTAGAGAGAGCAAAACATCAGCTGTACTTCAGATGACCTTTGAGATTGACTTTGCAATAACTTCATCAGAAAGCCTTACCAGAAACGGTTTTAATTCAGATCTATATCTGGCCCTATTACACTGCTTTGCAACTGTGGTTGTCAATCAAATCACAGCATGTTTGAATCGCACAATGCTCCTGTGTACTGTTTATTCTATCAACAGGACAAACATCTCTTGCGTTTCAGTCTCCGTTTACATGTCCTGCCCTCTAAGTAACAAATGTACCTTCCACTGGCTCTCGCCCTTTATTTTTTCTCCTGTTTACGTGAAAGATTTGATGCTGAAATTGCCATAGTTTAATTCATTAGTCCATGAAATGCGTTTTGCTGTTGCTTTTTTGCAATATTCAAACACTGATGTGGCCCTTCATTGAGATGACAGCAGTGGCCACCATCTTATTTGACTTTAAGACCCCTGGTTGAAATAAAAAAAAAATAGAATTAGAATGAGAAATATAGAAAAGGATTTCACGTATATAAAAATAGTCAAAGACTGGACTTGTAGTCATTGGGTCAAGATTGGTTCTGATGCTGTTATTAACCAAAGTTAACAAAACATAGCCTTTTGGAGTATGGAGGAGGCTCTGTAAAAGTCTGGGGCTGCATTTCAGTCAACGGTCAAAACTAAAGGAACTATGAAGCTGAGGAAGTCTGTAGTGTACACTACAGTACTACGGTCGAGAAATTGTTTTTTAAGCACAAAAATAATAATAAGTACTTTGCAAATGTTAAATCTTCAAATTTGAAAGAATAAAGAATGGATATGTTTACTGTTCAATTGGTCTTCACTAGTTCTCAGTCCCTTAATTTTTTATTTTTATTTTTTTGGATTGCCTTGATGAGGAACATATCCAAAGACAGGCACCAGAATCTATTCCTTCAAAATAATAAAATAAACCAGGCAGATAACCTGGCTGAACATCTTGTCTGTCAAAAATGCAATACTAAATATTAACTACAACTGAAGTTGAGCTGCAGGGGCGGGTCTTTACAACGATTTAACTACCATTTAGAAGACATTTTCATCAAATTCCCTAAAAACCAATCTACCCCATGTCTAGAAGAGTAAAACATTACTGCCTGATCTTCAACATCATCGTCCATTTCGGTCCTTTGTGACTTACAGTGATTACTGACAGTGACAAAATACCATGCGATTGCTGTACAAATTTACCTGGTCGGGATCTTGACCCTGAGATAGCGGTCAATTGCGATGGCCAGCAGGGCGAGGATTGAACTTTGCGTCAGCACCAGCACGGTGCACGCCCCGAGCAGGCAGCTGTAAAAGTGAGTTTGAAGTCCAATGCTCATCATGATGGCCAGGGGGATGACGAGGGCTCCCACCGCAATATCCGCCAAAGCCAGCGACACGATGAAACAAAAGGTGGTATCTCGTAGCGATTTATTAATTTTCACCGCCCAGACCACCATCACGTTCCCGACAACAGACGCGACTGCGATCAGCACCTCCATCCCAATGTAGAGGGACTGCTCGGAAAAAAGCCCACCGGACATCACTCTGACTAACCCGTGGCCCTGTTACCGAGAACCCAACAAAGCAGTGGCCAACAGAGATCTCCGAGCCTTTATGTGCGTCTCACTACAACAACGCCGTCTTCCAAATGCGCTGCGCCTCCATCACTTCTACGGTTCCCACCTTCGTTTGGTCATCGCGTGTGTGAATTGTAGGAAAATTTAGTGATTTGCAAATGAAAATTGCGCCCTTCCAAGCCACACATCTGAGGATGAAAGAACTCTTCTGTGGAATATGTTTATCTGCAGGCAGTTCGGCTTTTCTCACGCTCAGTGTCCCGCGCCTCCATGCACCTGCCCAGGCGCTGAGAGCAGCATCCGTCCGACCCGTGCGCTCTGACTGATCCAAGAGGGCGCTTTAGCTGCAGCAGCAGCAGTAGCAGCAATAGCAGCAGCAGCAGCAGCAATAGCAGCAGCAGCAGTAGTCTACGTGTTTTAATGTGTCAAAGCAGGGTTTACCCCATGATGAGTAACTGCTCTGTGAAGAGTAGTGCGCATGGTCCAATACGCAGGTATAGCTTCCTTTCGCTTTCGTACTCTTGGTAATAATAATTATAATAATTAGTGCAGTTGCATCGAACAGGGGTAGGAATAGTCCTTCTACTTCTACTGTTCCATTCAGATTTCCTATCTCTACTAACAGAACTATATCATTCTAGTCTCGCCACTTGTCGTGTTTGGTGCTGCAGAGATTAAATCGCGCAGCCAAGGCGTTCTGCGGGACGTCCCGGGGAAGTCATCTAGAGCAGAGGTGATAATGAAGTCCTATTTGTTTTCTTCTGCACGCCCACTTACCCACGCCCTCTCATATGCCAAAGGACCTTGAACTCCTGACCATTGTTCTGATAGGAGGAGAGGCAGTAAAGTGCCACTGCTAAGAGAAAATATTATGGACTCTGGAAAGTGGTCTTGCCCGGATTTATGACAAGAATCCCTGCAGTTAAATGTGGAATAAAACGTGATTCCCTTATAGGTTTTGTGTGTGTGTGTGTGTGTGTGTGTGTGTTTTGCTGCAGGTACCATTCCAGCTCTATAAAAACTATTTGTGTAAAGCGAGTGGTAAACATATGGTATGTCATCCAAGTACCTGATCACAGGTCCACATGACTTAGCCTCGTGTGAAATTGATGTTTGAAAATATTGTACAGAAACAGGCTACAACGCTGCCGATCAAGAAAAAGTCCACTTCTGTTGATGAGACGCATGGTAGGAACGTCCAGGACAAATATGACATTTAGTTGAAGCATAAAATAAAGTCAGCTTAGATAAAAAATAGATTCCTTTGGTTACAGAGTTGGTAACTGTTTACAGGATATAGAAGAAAACCCAAAGAACAATGTCCTCAAAGACAAAAAAAACCCTGACCTCCAAATTCTTCATGCAAAACGGACACAAGACCATGTGTCCTGTTGGTCACACTCCTCTCATACTATATGAAGTTCTGACATTTAGTTGGAGCTGGCTGAAAATTGGGGCTTCATAATGGTCAGCCATCACCAGAGGCAAAGGTCTGACTGTCAATTCACATATTTCACACTGCAATGAAAATCATGCAGCAGCACAGCACTGAAGAAGAAGAAGAAAAAACCCACCGATGTTGAACCTCTTTTTCTACGTTCTTGTACTTCCTCTCTCTTCTTTTCTAAACCCCAATCATCTGGTTCTGCCAGTTTGGCTTTGTACTGTTTGACAAATGTATGTTTATCAGTTTATTACTGTCATAATGCTTTATGAGCTTTAACAACTGAATCATTTCTATTGGCATTACTATCTCACTACATGTCATTTGCACTCTAGCTAACCTACAGGAGGGGCAGATCATTTCTTATATACACCAGGGTGTTCAGTTCTTATGAGTAAATATAGCTTTTCCCACTTCTCAAACTTCTTTAATTCTCAACACCTCAAGCTCAGTGTATGCAAAACAGAAAAAGATATTTAGGTCATTCTAAATATACCTGTGCTTCTAACGGCAAACGCTTCCTCTGTGCCTGGAGCCAGCCCTCAGGCCCAAACTAATGGTATTCACTGGTTTAGATTTATTGATCAGTCTGTGGAAGGGTACATTTCCTGCGACACAATTACAAACTCTCACTGTGTGAAACACACACTATGAGCTTTAAACATTCAACAAAGCAAACAGTTCAAGTGTTGTTGTTTTACATCCGAATGACGTCCTGAGGTGACAGCAGTGAGAGCTCTGATCAATTCAGGCACTGCAGGAATTCAAACCTTCTCTGCTGTGTTGACTCACAGTAACCTATTGTGAGAAGGAGAACCGTGGAGGTCACATGAGTGCTGACAGACACTGGTGACCAGCAGCTCCCATAGAAACACCGGACATCTGTGACCGGCTTCTCCAGCAGCGTGAGGTATGAGGTCAGCTAGTGAGCACACAGGATGGATGCAACCATATGGTCCTCACGCAGTGATGACACCTGACCCTCTTTGAGCTTAATTTGGTGCAGCATGTGAGAAATCAATCACTATGGAGAAAGCGTGTGAGAAATAACACTTGGTTGACCGATACATCAGGAGAAGTATTGATTTTTGTCAATCTCACTGAAACCTTTTTCGCAAAGAATACATTCCAGGCCTTTTTGGAAGTCAATATTTCAATACTTCTCCTCTGGTGAAGGCCACTGAATGTTAGAGGTTGGGCTTTATATAAAAGGAAAGTCAGGAGTCTAAAAACAGGATCAGACCATAATTCCAGGATGTTATTTGCGACACTGTTTCTTTTTTAGCATCAGAGACTCTGAGCAGGGAACACGATTATCAACAGTCAACAGGGAAAACACCAGCCTCCCATCACTGCTCAAGCTTGTTTCAAGACCATGTTTTTACTAAGGACATGACTGCAATCTGATGTAAAACACTCCTTGTTTCTCTTTCAGCCTTCCTTAAACAGCTTGTATTTTTTCTCTTCCAGATCTTCTGGGGATGGATTTGATCCATGCCTGAGCTCATGTCAGTTGTCGTATTGTTCAAAGAACCTGTTGAAGGAGGGTTGAAGGAAATGCTTACCTACGATTTCACCACTTGGGGCAAAAAAGAACAATGAACTCCAATCAGTGCTAGTTATATTCACACAAATCCACACTAGGATTACAGAGTTATGATTCGCTGGCGTTTAACCAAACTGCAGCATTAAACACAGATCATCCATGTGTCACAGGGAACCCTGTTGATAAGCAGAGGCAGAGTGTGACATTGTAACAGCTCGTAAGGCACATCAACCTTTCTGCTACTGACTTAGCACATTTCTATAAAAGCTTTAACAGCCTGGACAGAGATGCAGGCACTGAGCTGTGTCCATACTCAAATGAGCAAAGAAGGATTTTAGCATAGCGCAGCATCTTTCTGCAGAGTTTTCTCTGCCGTACCCAGTTGAAAATAATATCACTCAGCCATAAAAAAAAGCCTCGGCAGTGAACCGCAGGCGTGTGCTGTCAAAACCACCCTGACAGAGAACTGGTCATAAAAGATCAAGATAACACCAGGAATTTAGTGACCAGGAGAAGACCAGTGAGAAGATGAAGTACAAACAGAGTTTACATTTAAATAAAGTATGGGTTAAATTTGTTCTCTAAACTTAGACACAGCACGTTAGGTAGCAAAGACGCTGTGCGGTAGCCGCTGTGTGGTGCCTTTCCTTTCCATATGGGCAAATTAATTATGTTTGGTTAATAGAAGCAAACTTTATAACAGACAATTGGGCGACATTTCCAACTCAAAACAAACACACGGCCTGTCCTTATCGTGTTGTCTTCTTGGACTTTACTCCATGTAAACGTCATAAAACCACACGTTATTTTATCAACTTGGTTATTAACTAAGTTATATGTTACCAGAAATTTTCATGGAAAAAAGTAGCGTCATCCATGTATTGAAAAGCTCCATCAGTGACTGGAATGTAATGACATATAGTGGATGTCATCGCTATCAAAAAACTATTCAAGTGCTCATGCCATTGTTGTTTTCATAATAATGATTTCTACAAATGTCGTATCTAAGAGACCTTCAGACCCTTTTTCTATCATTGAAGTTCTTACTGGAAAAGTATTTAAAAGAAGACCAGTCAGAAGGACTGGGAACAGTGGAAACTCTAGTGTTGTTACTTGTGATACTAAAGGAAATGCAACACAACACGGCTAACCTCAGGCCCTGCTGCAGGAGGGATCCAATAAACATCTCACCTAAGAGGGAGTTAGAGAACACTCAAGGTCACACATGCGCAGTACTCCACCAACAAACTCACAAGCACCGCAATAAATACACTAAAACAAGTGTCAGGCCATTGGTTTATGATATGGAAATGTTTCTTAGTTTCAAGATTAGAAAATGAAACCTGCAAAATAAACCTAAGATCTGGGGTTTTATCAACTGGTAGGTTAATAAATAACAATATAAATATGAGGTATAAACATAGCATTAATGTATGAAATTCTCCATTGTGGGAGGAATAAAGGGCTTCTTATAAGAATGGGTCACAGACTAACGGATTTGAAGGAAGAATTGTCTTTGAAAAGATGAATGGTGTGAGGAGAAATGTTTGTATGTAAAAGTCAAGGACAGAAGTGCTGCTGAATGGGTGACCTCCTGACCTTTTAAGGTGGTAATGCATTAGAAACTGTCATGTTATCATGATGGACAGAGCCATAAGGTACACCCGCAGTGGAACATGAAATCTGTCTTAGGGTGAAGGTTGTAATGCAGAGGCCTACGGTCTAAGTTCAGAGTGACATATTTTCTAGAGAACTCCATTCATTTATTTAGCAGGAAAATACTACATTCAGCACAAATGTGAGCCACAGTGCTTGGGTTTGTCTAACCTGCCTGGATCCTATTGATCATGGCTAGCACAAAATTAAGAAAAAAAAAGACAATTCTGACCATGGACTGTTGAGTAAGCAGTAAGTATGCAGAAAAATACATGCAAAAAAAAACTGCAACCATTTGTTTCATGAAGTAAAGTAAACCCTTCACCAAACTCATCACCTTCTGTGACACATTCACGATCGCAGTGCACTACAGTGTAATGTATGGTGCATTTAGATGGTACTGATGCTGGTGCCTGGCTGCCAGCTGGCCTCTCCATCTCACACACCTGCTCAGAGCTCACAGTGTTCCTGAGAAATTAAGCACTGCCTACAAGACTCTCGAGCTGCTGAGGTGAAAATGAAAAATGTCAACAGCCAGTTTTCATACTGTGAGAAAGAGGACTGGCCTTTTTTTTGTACTAATCGACTGAAAAACCGGTGACGTGTGTATGAAAATATCATGTATCTGCATCTTCCAAAGATCATCTTTAGCAGCCATTTTAATCTGCACTGACTTCACTGTTATGGATTGAACAATTAGGATGTTAATGAGGTTATTTAAAAGAAGTGGTAGTCAGCAGATTTGAGGGGAAAAAACAAAGAGCTGGACCAGCTATTTATGCTTCTCAACATCACATATTACAGTGGAATCAACATTTACTCTAGAAAAACATAATTCTAGGAAACACAATAATAAATAAAAATAATAAAGCCCTGACTTTCTGACAGCTGTACTGTTTATTTATAGGGCACGCCTGTGTGCCATGCAGTTTCACTCTAGATCACACCTCTACCCACACACTGAAACATAGAAAACGTCTAATTAGTGTTTGTTCTACATCACACCTTCACAGTGACATTTTAATCTACATAACAGATTGTAGGACTGTATGATTAATAATTGCAGTGAATCTGACAGGATTGTCATTTAAATCAAACAATAAATTGCAATTTCCTTTCAATTTTATTTTCTCTAAATACTACATTGTAAACACAGTCCTTGGCAGATAACATGTTAATACGGGGTTTTATCAGGAGCAACTGGAGGTTAGGGGCCTTATCCAAGGTCACATCTTGATGTAGATCAGCCTCAAGTGTGTGACCAACTATTTACATG